TGACTTTATGACATCTGTGTATTAGTCAAATATTGTCCCTACTCTCCACTTTCCTATCTTGAAAAACACTTGTTACATCCACCTCAGGCATTGCAACAATCTTTTCTCTAGAGAATGAATTCCTCTGTGTACCCCCCCCTCCTGTTTTTAATGTTTAATTTTAAAAATTGCAGTTTATCCGGTGTCTTTTCTGGGAACTGAAAAACAAACCTAGAATCATAGAAAAGCAGGTCTGGAAGGGACCTTGAGAGGTCATCTAGTTCAACTTCCCACCAGAGACATTCCTATCCAAACCATCCTGCACAAACCCATTGTCTAATTTAAAAGCAAAACAACACAGTCAGCCCTGACACAGCCATTAGACATAACACTCTTACCTGCCATAGGTAAAGATGGGGGGCAATGGCAGCCAATGCTCTGTTGCTATGAAGGTTGTTAAAATATGCTTGAGAGATCTGAGGAAAAGGGCCACACCCCCTGCTACAAAGGAAGGCAAAAACTCCCACAGCTTGTACCAATCTGACCATGAAATAAAATATGCAAACCCAATATGGTGACCAGTTTGAACCTGAGTAAAGGGCCAAGACCCTCTAGCCAGGAACCTCCAGGTGTAAGTCTCAGTAGGAGCATTGGCATACTCCACTCAAAATCCTTAGCTATAGCCTGTGGCAGAATGCCACCTCTGTCTCTCCCCAAAAACTCTGCTATGTGACAATTTTGTTAACATGGTCACTGCAAAGGGCAGGCATCCCATGGGCCCTTTAGGTAACCCTGAGTTGTAACCTGAGTTGAATACATTCCTGAGGAACGGGGAAAACCTCCCTCTGCCTACATGACTGGCATCACATACCTGGGTGAGGGGCTTGGGCTCCCTATTGTTCTGAGCAATGCCAGTCTACCCAGCAACCAGTGATGCATTTCAGGTTGGTTGGCTGGCAACCAACAGGTACTGGCCTCCATTGGACCAGGCAAATGAGGTCGTATGGTCTATATAAGTTAAGGACTGCCCAGGAGGAGGGGCAGTAGCCATGATGAAAACTCAGAGAGAGAAGAGCTGGACCATCTGAAACTTGCTCTCTCTCTTGAAACTTATGATCTATGAACTGCCTGCCTCCCGAGAGGATCTCCACCTGCCTCTGGATGATACTTGTGAGTAAGCTACTGAGATCTAATTGGATAGATAGCTTGCAGTAACTCAGATGCGTGATCAAAGGCTACCCAGCCACCCTGCTTGCTCTATGGGATTTCTCTGATATTGTGCTAACCTGTACCCTATTCCAAACTTACTCCTTGTAACCAATAAAGTTCTCCTTTGTACCTAGCATGAGAGACTTATTGGGAGTGGGTCTAGATTATGCCTTGGGATCCCTTTGGTTTGGCTGACTAAGGGAGACCTCTATTTGTGCTTCAGACTGAGAGAAGCACCCCAAGTTCTTGAAGTGGGTTGAGTACCCGCAAGGGCTATTAGTCCTGTGTTTCCAAGGGAGCACAGAGTCAGGATCACTCCAGACCCTGGGTGGTGGCGGCGTTACCCCCAGGCTAGCAGGTGTGCTCCAGGAGGGGGTTTGGCCAGACATGAGGCAGCCCCAGGGAGGCACTTGGAGCCTGGAAGGTGGTCGGGTGCAGTGAGGTGGGTGGCTCAGTGCAGGAACACCCGCTACTGGCCTGCCACACAGCTAACACTCAATGCTTCTTAGGAAAGTGAACATCCCTCCCCACCCCCAACACATGTAGCAGTAGTAGGAGGAAAAAATTCCTTCCTGGTCCCATGTGGCAAGCTGCAAAATACAGAAGCATAGGAAATACCCATAGTAGAGCATAGGTATAGGTATTCCTAGATCATTTTTGACCAATGCTTGTCCAACCTCTTTTTGAACACCTTCAATGATGGAGATTCCACCACTTGTTTAGGTAATCTAGTCCATTACCTCACCATTTTAACAGTGAAGAAGTTTTTCCTAATATCTAATCTCAACCTACTTTGTTGTGTGGCAGACTTACTGATAGCAGCCTGGCATGTCCAGGCTCGGAGAATCCTGTGTGTGATTGGTGGAACACTTCCACCAATCAGGCGATTGCTGGGGAAGGGATTGTCCACCCCCTACCCTGGTTGAGATAGAGAACCCAAGCTGGTTGAAGTCTGCACCTTGCTTCAACCTGATTGATCCATTTGCAGTCTGGGGGTGGAGCCTCCGGAGGGAATAAAAGAGTAGCATGCCTGGCACACATTCCTGTGTTGAGGAATGTAGAAGAGGACTGGGCAAAAGAAGAGCTGGTAAGAGCTGGTCAGCAGGGGTGGAGCTGTTGCCACGAAGTACCTGAAGCCCCTCCTTGCTGGATGGGAGTGGCAAGTGGCCACAACCCACAGCCCTGCCACTGAGAAGTGTGGTGTTGGTGCATGGATCGGTGCACGGGGCAAGACGCTGGGACCTGCACCAAGCAGCTCGAGTCTGCAACACCTGGCATGTGGTCAGGAACACAGTGCATGGGCAGGTGCATGGAACCAGACCCTGGGAGCTGCATGAGGTAGCTTGGGTCTGCATCCCCAGTTGGTGCATGGGACAGTTCATGGAGCTGGGACTCTGGGAGCTGCATGAGGAAGCTTGGGTCCCCAATCCCTGGCAAGTGGCCACGATGCGGTGCCAATGGCACAGAGTGATCCAGGAGGGATTGGAACCGCTCAGAGCCGCTCAAGGTGATGTGGATCTATAGCCACTGGCACAGGGCCAGTGGCTTGATGCAGACAATGCTGCACAGAGTGTCTGGGAATGGACTGAGCCCTGGTGCTGCATGAGGTGGCCTGGGCCTCCAACCCCAAGCAGTATGCGATGGTGTACAGGGCCACCAGTGGCTGGTGGCCCAAGGGGAGGCTGTGGCCCCGGAGGCCCCCATGTGAGGAGCACCTCAGCTGAGGAGGGATGAAGACCACCCATCTTGGCCCTGGAGTCATGAGTTGCTGGGGGAAAGGATTCCCACAGGAGAGGGGTAATTCCTCCTGGCTAGTAAGGGGCTTCTAGAAGGAGAGCAAAGGGAAAGGGCCCTTTAGTTTAGAGGCTCTTTTGGGATTGTGAAAGGCCCAACGAGTATTGGGGTTCTTCCCCCACTGGTCCCCGGAGCACTGGCAAGGCCTTAGAACCTGTCAAGGCCTTGGGGACCCTTAAAGAGTTAAGTTTTATTTCTGATGCTATGCGTCTCCTATTTTGTAAGATACAGTCTTATATTTTGTTATTTCTGTGTAATGATAATTGTTGATTTGTTGATATATGATCCCACTGAAATCCTTGCTGGGATCCCTCCTGGCCACCCATCTGTTGCTTATCTGCTCTTGATTTGTGCTTACCTGTACTGGTTTATTACTTACCTGTTCCTGATTTGTATTTACCTGTATTGAGCTGTTACTTACCACTTCCTGAGTGGAACCCCTAGTAGTAGTGTATAGTTCCCCCTGATTTCTGTCCTCAGAGTATAGATTTATGTCAAAGTTGTATATTTGTAAATATGTCTAGTAATATACCTCTCTTGGTCTATTTTTATTAATAAATCTGTATATAGTTAAGTCCATATTGTCCCGGCCTGTTTCTAGAGGGAATAGAGGAAAACTGGGCTTTGATTGCAGTTTCCTCTCACAGCACTCCTGCCTAGCCAGCACTTCCCTTCCATTGGAGGAAGGGAGCACTTACCCTGGTGCACCCGAGTTACAGTTGCAACATCAAGCCATTGATCCACATCCTGCTGCCTGCAATAAGAGAGAAAAGGCATTTTCCTCCTTTTATGGTAGCCCTTCAGATATTTGAAGACTGCTGGCATGCAGACATGCCTTTTCCACAAGCTGAACATGCCTAGCTCCATCAACCACTCCTCTTATGACATGTCTTCTAAGGCCTTTATCTTTTTTGTCATCTGCCTCTGGACCCTCTCTGACTTCTCCATGTCCTTTTTAAAATGTGGAGCCTGAAGCTGCACATACTACTCTAACTAAGGCCTAACCAATGCAGAATAAAGAGGCATTATAAACTTCCTGGTCTTGCACATAATGCTTCTATTGATGTGTTCTAAAACTCTATTCAGCTTCTGTGCAGCTACATCATACTGCAGATTCACTGAGTCTGTGATCTACTACGACTCCCAGATCCATCTCCATAGTGCTGCCATCCAGCCAGAGGTCACCCATTTTGTATTTGTGGTTTTGATTATTCTTCCTGCAGTATAACACCTTGCACCTGTCAGCATTGAACTTTATCCTATTAGCTTCAGCCCATATTTTCAATATATCAAGATTTTTCTGAATTGTGATCTTGTCCTCCAATGTGTTTGTGATCCTTCCCAGTTTTGTGCTATCTGCAGATTTTCTCAAGAAGCTTTCTATGCCAGCATCCAAACAATAAATACATTGAACAGCACTGGGGCCAGGACAGATCCCTGTGGGACTCAGGTCAAAACCTCCTGCCATTCTGATCCATTTATAATTACCCTTTGCTTGTGGCAATTGCCAATTAGAGTAGTTTTGTCTAGCCCACATTTCTCTAATTTGTTTATAAGCAGTCATGTGTGACTTTTTCAAAAGCCTTGCTGAAGTCCAGATCCACTAGATTCACAGTATTCCCTTCATCCACCCAAGTAGTTAGTTTGTAAAAGAAGGAGATTAAGTTTGTGCAACATGATGTGTTCTTAGTAAATCCATGCTGGCTGTTTGGGCATTTATACACATGCTCCGAGAGCTGCTCTAATTAAAGTGCCTGGACCATCATGTGTATTAATGTCCCCGTGCTGAAAAATGGCTGTGGCAGTGCTTTAACTAAAGCTTGTTGAATGAGATTTAGTTAAAGCGCCCTGTTACCAGAAGACAGGTTAGCCCCTTTAAAAATAGAACTTTCTGGGCACAGCGTGCTGGTAAGGGGAGGGTTAAAAGCTGACCTAGTCAGCTAGTCAGCTGACTGGAAGGGGGCAGGCCAGGACTATAAAAACCCTGGGCTGGCAGCAGTTGGGGGCCAGCAGCCAAAGGGGAAGGAGTGTGTCTCAGAGCTCTATGGAGAGGCTTGGTGAGCAGTGCAAAGGCTGGTGGAGGGGAACTATGGAGGACCCAGAGAGACGACAGCAACTCCAGAAGGACTGTAGCAGACAGTGGGGGAGCAGAAGCATGACCCCCATGAGAAACAGTAAGCTGGAATACTGCATTCTTTAATTATATTTTCTTAGTGGTGGTTATAGCCCATGGACAGGACTGTTCATATTTTCTTTTACTGTTATTGAGCAACACTGGTGGTTTGGGTGAGGCTATTTGGGGAAGGAGGAGGCATCATTTGGACCCCACTACCACATGGGGACCCGGTGCCAGTGTGGGTGCAGGATTTGGGGTACACTGACCCCAAATAGAAGGCACAGGATTTGGGGTACATAGGCCCAGGCACAGGACTCTAGGGTGTACAGACCCTGGTGCCAGAGGGTGCGATTCTAAAAGGCCAAGGTGGTCTGCTGCACCTGAGGTGCAGTTTTGGTGGGTTTTTCTTTTTTTTTGGACTGGGACAGTGTGGGTTTGGGGCCATTCCCAGGCCTTGAACTTGCAACCCCATGGCTGTGGGGCCAGTGGCCGGGCCAGGGAGGCTGGGCTCCAGATTGGAACAGAAAGGAGGGCCACGAGCCTAAAGACAAGAAAAAAGGGCTAGAGCTTCAGAGTCAAACCCTGTTTGGTGGGTTTAGGCGGGGAGGCCTAGCTAGAAAAGGAAAGGGGTCAAGGCCCGTGGAGGCAGAAGACCCCAACATACAAAACACAATAGGCAGTCTCCTGCTTACAAGAACATCAGTATAATAATTTCCATCAAGACGTGGCAGATGAGTACAGAGTGGGACCTTAAAGGGGACGCCAATGGTGCCCCACCTAGGGTGCAGATAACGGGGAAGATGGCGCTAGGGAGGGCAACCTGTTACACACCCCCACCTCCACTTTTCAGCATGGGGATACTGATACACATGACGCTGGAGTCTGCTGGAGTGGAGTAATTACCACACTCCAGCAGACTTGATTAATCGATTTCTGCTCCAACACACTGTAATTACAGTGTGTCAGAGCAGCCTCACTGCCCGTGTATATCTGCCTCTTGTGATCAGCCTTTTCTCTTCCAAATGTTTGCAAATGGACTTCCTTAGTATATGCTCCAGTAACTTCCCAGATATCGAGGTGAAGCTAACCAGTATATAGTTCCCTTGTGTGTCTGTGTGTCTCTGTCTGTGTCTCTGTGTCAGAGACAGAGACACACAGTCTCTGTGTCTCAAAAAGAAAGCACTACACTGGCCCTCTTCCAGTCCTTCAGTACCGTTTTCTAAGGCTTCATAAATATTATTGCCAAAGGCTCTGAGATCTCTTCTGGCAGTTCCCTTGGTATCCTGGGATGA